CACAGGAGCTGCGCGAAACACACACACACACACACACACACACACACACACACACACACACAGACAGGGGACGGATCAGTGACACGTCTCCCATTGTGTTGCCCTGCAGGAATTGTATAAGCAGAGCAGCACAAATAAAGCTGACAGCTGCAACATAAATACATCACGCTGAACAAGATTTTTAAATTTTTTGAAGAAAATGTGAGTGCTGTTTGCCCTTGTTTGCCCTTGCTGTGCGGTGGCTGAGTGCTAATTGTGGTAATTAGGTGGTTTCTTACTGGTCCAAGTCAATCGAGTGCAAGTCTATGGGATTTTTCATCTATTTTACTGTGCTAAAAAAAGGGTTGCAGTTTGTTTTACAGTATGTGCACTTACAGTGTACTTACCTACGAAAGTACTGGGTAATATAAGGTAACTACATGGGTTAAAGTTAGGTTTAGGTATAGGTTCGGGGTTAGTACCTAGTTCTTACCCAGGTATTGTTATTACTATAATAAGTGCATAATATGTACACGCAGAACAAGGCTGTAAAAGAAAGTGTTACCAAAAATCAGTAAGGGTACACCCCTCCATAACAAGCCACATGATTTAAGGTATGATTCATGTCCTGTTCAAATGAAAGACATCAAAACATCACATTACATGTACTTACTTAGTAATAACAGTTATTACAAGTAATTACAAGCAACCAAACCTAAACCAAACCCTAACCATAGTCATATAGTAAGTGCATGTAGTTAATTAATATTACAGATTATTTAATTACATCGTAACAACAAAACCAATACTTAAAATAATCTGTAACCCAATGTTTTTGTTCAAAACACTATGGCCTGGTTTCACAGACGGGGCTTAGATTAAACCAGGATTAGGCCATAGTTCAATTAGGATTTTAAAGTGATTTTTATAAATATGCCTTAATAGTTCAATTAGGATTTTAAAGTAATTTTTATAAATATGCCTTAGAAAAAACATTACTGGTGTGCATCTTGAGACAAAACAAGGGCACTGACATATTTCAAGATCAATCAGTGCAAGTTTCTTTCAGTTGAAACGGCTCAGACTTACATTTTAGTCGGGGACTAGGCTTAAGCCTTGTCTGTGAAACTGGGGGTATATATCATTCAGTGACATAAAAAAAAAAAAACTATTATGTTCACCAAGGCTGCATTTATTTGATCAAAAAATACAGTAAAAACTTAAATATTATTAAATATTATTTCAATTTAAAATAACTGCTTTCTATGTGAATTTATATTTAAAATGTGATTTATTCCTGTGATCAAAGCTGAATTTTCAGCATCATTACTCCAGTCTTCAGTGTCACATGATCTTTCAGAAATCATTCTAATATGCTGCGCAAGAAACATTTCTTATTACCAATGTTATTATCAATGTTGTTGTGCTACTTTTTTTAAAACTGTGAAACGGTTTTCAAATAATTCCTGCTATCACATATAAAAGTAGTTTAAATATGCAGTGTGTACTTTTCACAATCATACATGAGTCCCGAGCATCTGATCCACCAAAATTCTGTCGGTTCACAATTATCGTAGATCAAACAGCATGTCAGGAAGAGGAGGAAGAAAGAGAGTCTTGCTTCCTCATGTTCACTCGTAACCCTTCAGATCTACAAACACGACAAAATGAGCAGAAATCCAGGACACCTTTCTACATAGACATGTATATTTAATATCTGGGCCTGTTTCATCTCGCCTTCATTTCAGACGAATCAGAGCTTCTCTGCTCATCATCTATCCAGATCCTCCGTAAATCTTCTCTAAAACAGAGTTCAGTGATGTAGTCGTTCTGTAGAACGCTCCGGAACAGAATGGCGTGATGGCTTTGAACAGACCGCAGAACATCTCTATCCTTCTCAAACTTCAAAGTGTTGAGGTTCAGTCTTTCTCTGGCTGGGTGTAATTCTACTTTGCATAGATTTGACTTTCTGCTGCTTCAAAAGCGTTTAAAGAGCGGGTGATGTGCTCTACTGCTGTACATTGATGCGCTTGTAATGACTGCACAGTTCTGGTGCACAAGTTCTCCAAATGGGTCAAGAGCACTCAGTGTCACACGCTGCAACCGCTTTCAACTTTAAATTCAATTTTTCTTTGCGCAAAAGTTGACTTTTCCCATCTCTCATGCTTAAGAACCTACAAGCTTCCTGCATAACTGAACTGCTCTGCAAGTCATTTCATGATTGTAAATCAAAACTGGTTTGGACAGAAACTCTATATTTACCCAATGAGCGGAGATCAAACAGAGAGCATAACTATTTAAGACAAAAATAAGAGATGAAAAATCGGAAAAGCACATTTATAAACAAATTTATTCTGACAGCAAACCAGTAATTTCATCCAGATACTAAGCATACAGAAGAAGATTCCCTCCCAGCAAAATAATACTGGGAAAATCAATCAATGAAAAAATTTATATTCATACTGAATAATTTAATAGTTATTTACTAAAATAATTAGTTCACTAAAAGTCTTTTAAATTCAACAAATCAAAACTGACCCTTTTTACTGTATTAATACACCTGCTAGGTCTATTTTTAACAATGCATTTATGCAAATTTGCATGAACTAATACAAATAGAAACCTTCAATGCAATGTCACTTTAGATAAAAGCATCTGCTAAATGCATAAAAGAAAGTTATTTGTCACGATTCGCTGCCGGAAGGAACACAGGAGACGCAGAGAAGTGTTAAACAGTCTTTTAATGAACAAACACAGGGGAAAATCCACAACAGGAACGAGGAATGACACACGAACATAACTTGTAGACCAGACAAACACTGAACACAAAGGCAGAGACTTAAATACAAAGGATAATTGGGGAAACACAGGTGCATAGAATGACGAATTAAACTAAACGAGGACAGGAACATGACCAAATAAGGGAAAACAGGAACAGAAACGGAGGGGGGGGAGACGGGTGGGAACTTGGGAGGAGGCTCGGGAGGAGGACGGGGACCCAGGATGGAGCCAGCAAACAGAGTCCATGGGGGTGACGAAGGAGGGAGGAGCCAGGGAGGAGACAGGAGGGGCTTGGAGCAGGAGGAGCCAAGCACGACCCAGGCCACAGCCATGATGGCGACCCCCGGTGGAGCCGACGGGGGGAAGAGCCATGGTGGAGGAAAAGGCTGACGACTCCAGGGGGCCAACTGACTGCTGCCGAGCAGATGGCGGAGGAGCCCGAGGCGGAGATGGAGAGCCGATGAGCCAGGGCGACGAGGAGGATCTGAAGGGCCAAGGTGGAGCAGATGGTGCCGGAGACCGAGGCGGGGATCCAGAAGGCCACGGTGGAGCCGGAGCAACCGAGGACTGAGGAGGAGCCGAAGGGCTGAAGGAGCCTGATGGAGCCAGAGGGACAAGGCGCAGCCAGAGGAGTGGAGTCCCGAGGCGCAGGATGATCGATGCCAGACCAAGGCGGAGCCGGAGGGACGAGGGAGCCTGGTGGAGCAGGTAGACTGATGGGCCCCGGCGGAGAGGAGGGAGCTAAGAGCCATGGTGGAGCCAACGGGTCCACGGGCCAAGGCGAAGTCCGGGGCTTAGAGGCGGAGTCAAGGGATACTCCGGCCACAGCGACGCTGGAGGATGGCAGTCCCACGGAGCTCGCACCGTATAGATGGTGGGCTGAGGGCGAGCAGAGGGGCTGCCAGACGACAGCAGAGGAGGCAAGAGTGGGTGGGAGCGCGGGCATTTGTGAGTCTCCGCGCTTTCAGGGCTGAACTCAGGAACGGGAGCCCTCTCTGGGCTTAACTCTGGAACGGGAGCCCTCTCTCCTTCAGTGTGGCACAGTCCCCGCGCCATACTAAGCTCACCCTCAGCCACGGTGCAGGGGCGGATCTCCTCTCCGCGCTCACACCGTCTGCGGCTTTCTCCCTCGTGGCGGTTGTTTTAGCCGTCTCTCGCACCTGGTCTGACGATCTCAGCAGCTCCGGGGCAATCCTCAGCACTGTCGCTCCATGCGGCGATGGCTCGTCGGTCGCGGCAGGCTCTGGTTCTCCGTCAGCGGTGGGCTCTGGCATGCGCTCCGCGCAGCGGGGAATTGGTGGGCTGGGCACTGGGTCCGGAGTGGCACTCGGGACAGACGGTGAATGGGGATTCGCTGCCAGAAGGAATGCAGGAGACGCGGAGAAGCGTTAAACAGTCTTTTAATGAACAAAGACAGGGGAAAATCCACAACATCATTTAAGGTGAAACTGATGCCTACCTCGATTGGTACGAATCCAAATGTTTCCATATTCGCGACGTATCTGGATGTTAAAATATTATTTATAATGTAATATGCTTTCTACTTCACTCGCATCGACATCATCCTTCACATCGGCTATATCAGCACAGCTGAACGCAACAGATTGTACAACAGAGAAGTGCAACTTTTTATGTTTCTTTAACTGTATTTTATTATGATAATGAACAGGCTGCAATGTCGCAAAATATGTTGTGTCTGTGTGCGCGTGAGGTGCCAGTGCGATATGGTCATACCAACGCTGGTTTGTTATACAGATAGAAGCAAAACATCATTCAAAACTGCCAAGATTTGCAAAATAAATAAAACTGTAAAGCTTTTGCAAAATAAAGAAAACTATTTTCTGCTGT